GCCGGGTTTTGTTACTCATATGCGATTGCTCGCTGAATAATATCGCCAGAGAGTGCAAGAAGAAGATCAGGCACTAAACGAGGTAACGTTGGCATGCTCTTTAAGGTTTTAAGATTGTCATATTTCAAAAAGCTGAACTGAATTTCAAACTTACCATCGTGGTCATTGATCAGACAGACCGCGAAAATACAGTACATCGTCACCATCGTGCCGTCGAGAGAAGGCATATAAGAAATCAACATCTCCAATAGCGGGAAAGACAGGGATTTTCCTAAATTTCTGCATGGTGATCATGGCATATGGTGATTTAAAAACTACCCACATTGTCCTAAAAATATTTTTAACCGCTCGATATACCTTTTTTACAACTTGAATGCTGAAAAATGAACCCAGGCTGCAGGTTGAGCTGGAAAGTCCTGTAGCCAAGCAGAGATACCCACGCAAAAATTATGCAAACCGACGAGTCCGAGCCACACCCGGCGACGGAATCTAAATACGGTATTAGGGAGATTTTGATCGTATACTTGATGCGTTTGTTAATGATAATATTTTGTTATTTAGCATTTTTAATGCATATAACCTTGTTAATTGCTAGGTACCGCTACCTCCAAGGGCTCTTCGGCGGCATTATCGTTTGGTGTTTGTAGAATAGGATTTGTATCACGGAGTCCAGCACGATCCCAATGCCGCAAGCTCCGAAAATCTGGAAGGCTTGTGTTTTTGCTTGCAGGTATCCCATTAAGACACCCATTTATATACCTTAAAACTTACAAATCCCCATCGTCCGCCAAGCCCGAATACTGTATCCCAAGGCCCAAGAAGTCTAGCACCGGGAGCTGGGAAATAGACTTCAGGTACGAAGCTTAGGATTACCGCTTCATACAGGATAGAAATTGTCTATAAAGACAGCGTAAATAAAGTAAAATCATTAAATCGATACCAATCACATGGCTAGAAATATATTAAAGAGTTTTTGAAGGTATTGAGGGTATTAGGAAGATTTCCTAACAACGTCTTTCCCTTTTGGTTTTTAAGAGCGTTTTTGTCCGTTCCGCGATGCTACTATTGGATCAGAAATCCTACCATATATAAAAAAATAGTGTTTTTGTGTGTGTGTGTGTATATTTGTATGCAACTTCCGTGAGTATGTACCGCACCTACAGCCTCAGGGGAAGGTTTTTAAGGGTCGTATGATACGTCATTAGGTGCTTAATGGCGCGGGAGATGAGTGCACACACATAAAAGTATTGAAAAATTATTGCTGTCGCGATTAAACCTGAGTTTTTGTAAAGCTTTCGAAAAACCTCCTTTGTTAGGGCAATTAGCATGCACCGGAAGCTGGAAGAACCTATGTAAAGGGCCAGAGGAGATGTTTTCACTCTTTTCTTGCTTGAATTCAGGAAGAAACATGCAAATTGAGGACTCTCACACGTCCTAGATGAAAAGGGTTGAAAAGCTGCGAAGCGGCTTTCAACCCTGGTGTGTCTGCTATTTTCGATAAGTTAAATTAGCTCCAACTTACCTGCGAATAGGAAAGATACGGCCTCAATCCTTTCATGTGAGGCGGGGCCGTTTTGACGATCAGCCAAAGTGCAAAGAAACCTAGAGGATAGCTTAAAAGAGGTAGGAATTTTGTGTAGTAATCATAGAAATAAGGGTAATAGTAGTAGCACCTGGTTGTCAACGGATTCGCCATAATATGAAGGTCGAGTAAAGAGGACGAGAAATTTAGGCGGCGGGGTGCAGACAGGTGATTTTCCGATTGCAAAAAAATTAGGAAGGCACAACGTTCTGAATTCTGAATAAGCAGGCAACAGCACGACTTCTTTGACAGAAATATTGGAAGTAATAACAGACAGGCTAGCCGAGAATCCGGGGGAATTTGCGAGCTGATAGAGCAACGCTCTCTCTCTCTCTCATTCACTCTCTCATCCGCTCTTTCGTTCTCTCTCTCTCTCTCTCTCTCTCTCTCTCTCCCTCTCTATCCCACTCGGCCTTTTTGCGGCGATCCAAAAATAGACAATAGAAGGGCAAGCCAGCAGTTTTTCTTGAGGAACACCAGTATAATTTACTTATATATTTTTTATATTTTTTCACTCATAATTCCTAATCTAAATATTAATGAAATACATACAGCCCTCCTATCCCATTTCGACTGAAAGTCGAGCCACTTTCAGTCGATTTTACCCCCGTCTTGAAGCCCCAAAGTCGACTTCGACTTCAACGACGACTCAACGACTTCAAGCAGTTCATCCTGACGATGCCGTGGCAACCGGTGAAGTATGGAGGAGGTATTCCGGCCGATGGAAAGCCGGGGACACGCCGGTGAACACGCTGGAGATGGAGTCGGCCCCATTCCAAACCCCCGTCCACACCGCTGAGTATCCGACGACCGAGGATGAGGGAGGTGAGAGAGAAAGTGAGAGAGAGATAAGCTACTACTTGTAGAACCCAAACCACCACCATCCCCACCGAAGAACATTGACGACTTCATGCGCTTCGGGCGGCACTCGTTTTTGTTTGGGCTGATGTTGGAGGTAGCGAGAGAGAGAGAGAGAGAGAGAGAGAGAGGGAGAGAGAGAGTGAGGAGAGAGATGAGACAGAGAACGGAGAGTGAGAAACGAGGGAAAGCATTTTTTCAGCTAGTAATGATCTCCGACTGTGGCAATTTGCTGTTCATGATTTTTGGAGGTATATTAACGTTTTATTAAGTTTATTAATTCGGATTTTAAGGAGCCGTCCCAAAATCACCGGCTGCACGGATATTGGCCACAATATCACGGCGAACTGGAGTCCAGCCCGATTTTTACGAGGCTTACCACGGTAGTTTTCTCTCTTTCTCTTTCCTTTCTCTCTCTCCTCACTCTCTCTCTTTCTCGTTTTTTCTCGCTGGTTCCGTGCGCCGACAAAGATTTTCTTTGAGGCCGAAAACCGAATACCCCCCAGCTGCAACCCGATCATCGAGCTGAATTCACCTCGATCAACGTCGAGGTACTGTAGAATCCACAGAACTCCAAAAAAGTTCCCTATTTACAGTTCGGTCTACTTTGTGATGATGCTAACGGGATCAAGGAGAGCACATCAGTTCAGGTGAGAGAGGGAGAAAGAGAGAGAGAGAGAGAGAGAGAGAGAGAAGCGAGTGAGAGAGAGCAAGAGAAAGCGAGCGAGAGACTCCTTGTTCAGATGATCGGCTACGTGGTCGGCTCGCTGTTCTGGGGCCAATTCTCGGATATGTTTGGCAGAAAATGACCATGATGGTGACCTTGATCGCAAATGGGATCCTCGGCAGCATCTCCGGTTTTGTGCCCGACTTGACGACGTTCACGATTCTGCGATCTTCATCAGCCTCTTCTTCTACCGGACACTTGGTGTAAGCCAATGGAGTTAGAGAGATATAGAGCGAGAGAGAGAGAGAGAGAGAGAGAGAGAGAGAGATGAGCGAGCAAGAGAAATTACCTTTTTCAGCATTGACATGGTCTATTTTTGCGAGACAATCCCGACAAAGCACCGTCTCTGGCTGGCCTTCGTCCTCAACTGGTCCCCAAATTTCATCGTCGTTGCGGTAATAGGTAATTTTCGGAATTCCTTTAGTTTTAAAGGGATAGATATATGGATAGGATAGTGACTGGGATCGGTAGAAATCTGGTATCACTACCTCTTTCAACTCAACTTTTAGCATGGTTATGCGGGGATTGGCGCGTCTTCTCGGTGGCGCTGAATGTCATCTGCTTTGCGGCGGCTGGGTTGATGTGGTCAGTAGAATTTTCCATTTTCTTCGTAGGCCTTTGAAATTAAATTTATATTTTAGTTTCTGCGCCGAACCCCCCACACTGGCTCCTTCGACAAGGGAAAATTGATGAGGCTCGAAAAGTGGTGAAGTAAATCTACAAGGTAGGAAGTTTCTACTTATACCTGATTACTGATCCAAATGCTCCAAATTAACTATTCTTAACTGTTTTTCATCATTTTTCTTGCTGACACCATCCCTTTAAAGTAAACTTTCCGAAAATCGATTTTTGAAATATGCTCCCTTTTATATTTTAGTTCGACGGCGCCGAGCTCGACGAGGAGTCCCTTGAGCAGATGCTGGTGTGGGAGCAGCGGAAGCTAGAGGTATCGTTTCGTAATTTTGGGGTTACTGAGGTACTTTAAAGGGACACAGACACCACAAGCCCATTTTTTTCAGCTACTCCCAAAAGAGCGCTTTCTGGTTCCCGCACCTCTTCTGCACCTGGAAGCTGTGCGGCTACACGGCGGCCGTGTTTTTGAGCTAGTGGGATTTTTTAGGCAGTTCAATGTTGTAAGGGCAAGCCAGCAGGGATCTTTTAGGAAAATTAATTTGTTTGATCTCGAGTTTGGACGTGTAGAAGTTTTTTTTCAGCTTTCAAGCCTCGTTCGTCCAGTACGCGCTGTTCAACATGGAAGACATAGGAGGATCGGTAAGGAAATATAGAGGAGAAGGAGAGCGGAGAGAGAAAGAGGCAGAGAGAGAGATAGAGAGAGAGAGAGAGAGAGATGGAATACTTTTCGCTTTTTTCAGATTTTCGTGAACACAATGGTGATGGGCGTGCTTCGCGTCGTCATCAACCTCTTCTCGGCGGCCGGAGAAATCTTCTTGCCCTGGCTCGGGCGAAAGGTGTCTTAATCTGCTACGTCCCTTTAAAAAATTTTTGAATTTTAGAAGGCCCACAAATTTTTTCTGCCTGTACAGCGGCGTCACGCTGGTCATCGCGCTTGGGGCTGAGATTTTTGGTGAGCGAGAAAGAGAGAGAGAGAGAGAGAGAGAGAGAGAGAGTGACTGGCCCCCCCCCATCGGATTTTCTAGGCGCTTCCGGCAACTGGTCGAACGTCATCCGCTTCATGCCCTCTCCACGGCCTCTATGGTCTGCCAAATGTTCGCCGTCGTCAGCGTCGTGTGCAACGAGGTCGGTTATCGGATTCTAGCTGCAATTTCCATCCAGATTTTCCCAACACCCATCCGCAACGTCGCCTACGCAATGACGCAAATCGCCGAGAGCTCGGCTGCCGCATTGGGGCCGCTGGTTTTTATTTTGGTAGGGTTTAGTCGTGTAGTCGCTTTTATGTTAATTGCCCCCGAGCTGTCCTGCTCCCTTTAATGCGCCGAAAGCGCTTATTTTGACAGTAAAAAGGCATCAACTTTTAGAACGGCGTCGGCCAGTGGTTGCCCCTGATGCTGATGACGATCATCGTCTTCGCCGATCTGATCGTCTTCCACTTTTTGGTCCCCGAGACGAAGGACCTCCCGCTCGCCGACGCGATGCCCGACGGGGAGTGTCGCATCGGGATATTCAAGTACATTTCAGACCGCTCTCGCTCTCTCCCTCTCTCTCTCTCTCTCTCTCTCTCTCTGCTTCTCTCTATCTCTCTCGTTCTCTCGTTCTCTCTTCCTCTCTCTCTGCTTCTCTCTATCTCTCTCGTTCTCTCTCTTTCTCTCTTTTCTCTCTCTTTCTCCTCTCCCGCTTTCTCTCTAAAATTAAAATTTCAGAAAAGACAACTCCATGCGCCAATTCCCTACTACCTCGTGCTCAAACGATGCCTCGGCGCACGACTCGACCACCGTCACCTTCTCCCAAACTACTGCTCAAGCTTAAATTTCCATCTCATTGCCAAACTCACTCTCCTTTGCCCACTCACGATTTATCGTAGCGCTGTATTTGTAGTTGTGTTTTTTATGTATTTTCTTGTGATGTGATAGGATTTTTACTGTGCCCGGAGGGGCGGAATAAATGTGGCGAGAGAGAGAGTAATAGAGAGAGAAAGACAAAGAGAGGACGACGGGGAGAGAGCGATAGGACAGAGAGGGAGCGAGAGAGAGAGGAGAGAGAGAGGGAGATTTTTCATCATTTCCGATTGCTCGTTCTCCGCCTCTTTTCTTCATTACGAATCATGAATGGCGGCAACCGTTCGTTAATAAAGAAATTTTATGAATGACTCAAAAATGACAAAAAGTTTTCTAGACAATTTTAATCGGACGCGACGGACCTCCCTTTGAGACAAAACAAAATTACAATTTAAACACCGTCGATGAATCGCATGGGACTTTTCTGAGATTCGAAAATCCAGAAACTTCACACCTCAGTTTTCTTCTAATTTCCAAGAATGGCTGAGGAGAAAATTGATCAATGGATGCGCTTTGGGCGGCATTCTTTACTTTTTTCAATAATGCTGGAGGTAGGACCTTGATTATTGTAGGTACCCTAAAAATTCTAAATTTTAAAAAGGAGATAATCCGAAGAAGTTATTCAAAACTGGAATTGTAGGAATTGATTGATGCTAATTTACCCCGAAAAATTCCTATAAGGCTGTTGATTTCAGTTAGTGATGATCTCAGACTGTGGGAATATGCTGTTTATGGTATTTGGAGGTGAATTGAGCCCGAAGTAAACTTTCATCTAATCTAGGTGCGGCTCCAAAATTACTGGTTGCAATGGGACAGCATTGAATGAAACGCAAGGCTGGACGCAAGATAATTTTGCGCCGCCTACCAGCTGGGATGTGCACCCCGGAGCTCGGGATTGAGTTCGAGTCGGTGAATGTTGAGGTAAGTCGAGGGAAAGAGAGTGATAGAGAGAGGGTGAGAGAGATAGAGAGAGAAAGAGAGAGAAAGCCAGAAAGATCTGTTCTTGGCGTTTGGAGTAAAAGTCTTTCAGTTTGGTAAACTCTGCAATGAGGGCGATGGCGTGAAAACGAGCACGACAATCCAGGTTCTTACATTTTAAATTTTTACCCATGATTCAGATGTGCGGCTACATTGCTGGGTCGGTGATTTGGGGCCAGATCTCGGATACTTTTGGGCGGAAAAAAGGTATTCTCTCTCTCGCTCTCTCTCTCTATCTCTCTCAAAAGCGGCTCGTTTTAGCCAATGATCGGTGCGCTTCTGGCGAACGGCTTCCTCGGGTTGCTCAGCTACTGGATACCGAATTTGACGTGGTTCACGGTGTTGCGGATGGCCTGTACATTCTTCATGACTGGTCATATGACGTGAGCTGGTTAAAGGCAGGGAAAGAAAGAGAGAGCGCGCGCGAGAGAGAGCAAGTGAGAGAGAGTGAGAGAGAGTGAGAGAAAGAGAGAAAGAGAGAAAGAGAGAATGTGAAAGTCATGCCCGAATTACAAAAGTTTTATACTTTTAGAATTGATATGGTCTACTTTTGTGAAACGATCCCAACAAAACATCGCCTTTGGCTGGCTTTCGTCCTCAGCTGGTCTCCCAATTTTATTGTAGTAGCAGCGATAGGTATTTTATGACAAATATGTCGTAATTTTTTGGGAAACAATAACAAAACATTTCCTTCCTTTCAGCCTGGATTTGCAGAAACTGGAGGTTATTTTCGCTCGTCATCAATGTGCTATGCTTTGTACCTGCTGGATTGATGTTGTGAGTTCATGCAAAGAGAGGGAAGGGCGGGAGAGAGAGAGAGAGAGAGAGAGCGAGAAAGAGAACAAATTTTAGGCTAGTTTCCGAAACGCCGCATTGGCTTTTGAAAAGAGGTCGAGTAGCGGATGCCATTTCTGCCGTAAAATATATCCACAAGGTAATTTGATATCGGTTACATTTAGGTAAATGCTAGTTTATTTATTTTCCTGAAATCTGCTAGATTGGTCTTTCTAGTTTGATCGAGCCGAGCTGGACGAGAAGGCGATTGAAGAATTCATGGAAAACGAAATCAAGAAACTAGAGGTTTGTAAATGACAGCTTTAGGATGTCTAAATTTATTGACGCATAGAAAACTGTTTCTTTAGTTGGAGCCCACCGTGCACCTTTCATTCCCACATCTATTCGCCACGAAGAAATTGATCGGGTACACGATAGCAATTGGAATGTGCTAGTAAGTCAAGAGTGAGAGAGATAGAGAGATAGAGAGAGCGAGAGAGAGAAAGAGAGGGAGAAGGAGAGAGAAAGAGCGAAAGAGGTAACGGACAATATCGCAAGAACTGTATTTTAAGCTTCTCCTCCTCACTGGTCAGCTACGCACTTTTGTTCGGAATGGACGAGTTCGGCGGCTCAGTAAGTTTTTAAGGGGTTTGGACGCAACAGAATCGGCAGCTTGCCTTGGCTAGGTCTTGACAAGCGCGTCACAAATTGGAGAGCGAGTTCAAGCTCACCCTATTTTTCTTCGTAACATCGCCTTCTAGCCACCCATAAAAGTTTATTGATTCCTGTCGGATTTGTTCGCTGAGTAGACATTCGCTGTAAAATACGCAGGTCGATTTCGAAGCACCTTGGCCGCTGGAAGCTTCGCGATAGCTTACGGCATATCTTCGTTTCAGATTTATGCCAATACAATGATCATGGGATTATTCCGGCTGGTTCTAAATCTATCCTCCGCGTTTGCCGATCTAAAAGTGCCATGGCTGGGAAGAAAGGTTGGTTTTTGTCTATAAAGGCATCGGCAAATTGTTCTTACCCTCATAGTCCCTTTAAAATGAATCACCCAGACTTTTTTTTTAGCATGTCCACAAGATTTTCTGCATCTATGCGCTTGTAACCTTGGGATTCGCGGTTCTGGAGGATCGTTTACGTACCAAAATTCGACAGTTGTGTTGAAAATTTTGAAATTTGAGGGCTAAACAACTTCTGGGACGTCCTCGTGCGCTACATGCTCCTATCGACAGCGTCGATGGTCTCGCAACTTTTTGCTGTTGTCAGTGTCGTTTGTAATGAGGTATGAGTCGTGGAAAAATTGCTATTAGAAACATAATAAATTTTTTTGAATTACAAATTTTAATTCTTGACCTTGAAGAATTTCTGTTTAACAGCAAAACCCCCCAAAAAACCAGTTAAAACGCTAGACGGTATTTTTTTGAGGTCTATCCGACCCCGATCCGGAATATTGGATATGCGATGTCGCAAATCTTCGAGAGTTCTGGAGCCGCTCTTGCGCCGCAATTGACCGAATTGGTATCGTCCATAAAATTCCTTCCATGAATGCATGGCTAAATGAATTTCTAGAATCCCTATGGCAAATGGATTCCAATGCTGATAATGATCATCATCATCCTTGCCGACCTCCTCTGTTTCCATACTTTGATTCCGGAAACGAAAAACAAGACCCTGCCAGACGAGATGCCGCCGCCAGAGAAGCGTCTGAAAGTGTTTAGGTAAGTACATAATGGCAAAAAAAATATGGCACAAACTATAGAAAACAAGCCCCGCCGCCAGATGACGAAACCACCCGCATTTAATTTTTTGGAAATTGTATGTTGATTTTATATGATTTTCGAATTGTTGAATAAATATTGTTGATCCTATTTTGATACATTTTATAATTTCAAACATCCGGTGTGATTACAGATATCGATATCGGCATCTTGGTCAACGATTTTTTGAATTTAAAAACGCTCCAAAAAGCTTTGAAAAATATCGCAAATTTTTGAAATTCTTTAATCCAAGTTTTGAATCCACGGTTTTTCCTTACGAGTTATTCCTGAAAAAGTTCTTTTATAACATATATTTAAAAGATGAAAAATTTGTTACAAAAATTGCTCAGTTAGCTTTCTCTCATTTTTAATTGTTTTGAGTGGCTTAATTTAAGTTTGCGAAAAAGCATACAATTAAAAACCTACAAATAAAGTTTTTAGTGAGGTTTTTTACTTCCAAGTTCAACTTCACGAACGTTCTAAATAAAATTTTTCGGTGAGAATTGAGCGAAAAGTTACGAAAAGCTCCCAATTACGCTAATCCCATTATCTGCTTCGTTTCCGGGCCAGGATCTGCATGGTTCCAGAGTTGCCAGCTCATCGCGCCCTTTCCCAGCGCTTATCACTTTTTCTAGACAACCGGCCGCAATTCTGATGCAAACCCACACAGAAAACCGACCAAAGATTGACTCTCTCCTCTCGCTATAGGTCGCGTTTTAGCCTGCCTGATTGTCTATGCTCTCTTATATTTCCTTATCTCTAATCCGGGCTTCCCCCATCTAACATTCACTATATAAAACACACAATTTGCCTTTGCTGCCTCCCCTTTGGGGTTGCCGGGCGCTTTTTTGATGTTTTTCTTTGCCTTTTTCTCTTTCCGTGTTCGCCGTCTCTCTCTCTCTCTCTCTCTCTCTCTCGCTCTCTCTCTCCCTCTCTGCGCCTCCAAGCCACTCGTGCTCTCTAGCTATTTGTGGACCCTCTCCCCGGTAGAAATATTGCACAACTAACTGACCACTAGTCGAACACCCCTCCCCTTTTCTGTTCACTCGTCATTTCCGAGCGTAGATTAAAGATTTTCGAAAGAGCTAATCGGGTATTTAGGCCAAAAAAATAGGAGAGATTAAGCTATTTAAAATTTAGCTAACGACTTCCCGCTTTTTTTGGGATTAAATATTTTCGAAAGAGCTAATAGCTATATAATGTGAAAAATTTTTGGGATTGCCTTAGCTGATAAGTAGCCTAAAAGTTCTCTCTAGCTCACTTCCGGGCGCGTAAATTAAAGATTTTCGAAAGAGCTAGTGAGCTATTTAATGCAAAAAAATTGAGGTTTAGCCAATTTTTCATCTTGCTGAAAGGGGTGTAAAACCATTTCCAAAGGTGTACTTGATACATTTGCTACTAAAAACAGCATTTGCTGCGTTTTTTGGTGGATTTAAATCGACATGGTTTTTAAACAAAAAGCTGTTGAATTATCTTTATTTTGCTGCATTTTTGGCGTCTGGAAAATTCAAGTTTTCGTATGTTATTCGTCGTTGTTGAGGCCACATTTTTGATCTTGTTTTAATTTCCCGAGCGTTTGATCAAATTAATTGGCTTTTACCTAGAGATTTAGAGATATTTACTTTCATATTGTAACTGTTTAAATTGAGCGTTTATTCACCATTGACCTTTACAAACAAAAAGTTATTTTTTTGGACAAAAGGCAATCCAGACGGATTTTTGATAGCAATCTTCCAAAAAGAGTATTTTTGGATTTTCATAGGATTGTATTTTTGTAACAATATTCGCGTTGAGTGAAGATTGAATTGATTTTTAGTGCACTGGATACCACTATTTCCACTTCTTTGACACCCATAACTCATCCCACTCGCGCGCGGGAGAAGCGCTAAAAGGGGGGGGTCCAGCTGGTCAGTTGGCATGCCCGAGACTTTCGAAAGTCTACACTCATTTTCGCCAAGGCACAAGCGCAGGCATCACTTCTTAAAGGGATACCCAACCTTTCCGAGGCTCAAAAAGCAAAAACCACGACGCGGGCGGGGGTCGAACCCCGGACCCTCGATTTGAAGACTTGGATGCTATCCATTAGGCCATAATGGCAAGCCATTGCTTGAGATGGGGACGCCACAAGAGGGAAAGGGGTCCGAATTCTGTGCGGCACTGGGCACCCATTCCCGCACAAAATTCGCGCGTCATTTGTACTCCCCGGAATACATAACTATATATTTGCCGCAAAAACATTGGGTATCCCTTTAACAGGTTTCGACGCGCTTTTTGGATAGGGCGGCTGATAAAAAAACGGTTAGATACGAAATAGCTGCTCTTTATCTATCTCGACTTTTATCTCACACAATCTTTCTCGCTCGCATTCTGTGGCTTTCTCTATCTTGCTTTCTCTCTCTCTCTCTCTCTCTCTCTCTCTCTCTCCGCTCTCTCTCTCTCTCTCTCTCTCTTTCACTCACCGGATTTATTGTTTCTTTTTTTAGTTTTATGCACCAGAAAAATGGTCAACTGTTGGCCGTGTTGTTCAAAACGTAGTGATGACGAGGAGGGGCTCCTGGAGCAAGAGTACGTTTTTAACTTACAAGACAGCGATGCTACGTACATAGTAAAGTCGTAGTCGTGCGTATTCTGGTAAAATCTCACCAATATTCGATTTTTTCAGTTCTCAAAATGATCTCAAGTACAAGCGGGCAACCCTGTGGCAATTTGTGAGTTCACTTTCCAAAATAAGGTTTAAGAGTTACTTATCTTCATCTTAAAAGGACTGAGAAACGCCAGAATCGACCCCTTCTAGGCGCTGGGTCTCGACGGCTAGCTAGGATAACCCATAGGGCTCTGAAGACCAAAAATTGCTGTTTTTGCCGTGTATTGGAGTCTCACGTAGCTGACGGGACCTGACACCGCCACGGAGCCAATTTTTGCGTTTCCTAGTCCCTTTAAAGGGGTAAGGCATTTAATTTCCCGTATTTAGTATCGTTTCGCCAACTGGGTGGACTTTTGTTGATTTTCGTGGGGGTCGCCGGGGCGATGACGGCCCTCGTTCAGCTTTCCGATTATGGGTATTTTGATGGGGTAAGCGGATAGTCTGAAACTTGTAAAATCCGGTGTTTAGCAAAGTTTCACAGGCGTTCATCGACTACGATTTGGTACGAAGTGAGTTTATTCCGAAAATTTAAATTTTTGGAATTTTTCTCTCACGCTTTGATTAGGGTCCTTCTCTCTCTCTCATTCTCTTCATCTGTCTCTCTCTACCTCTCTCTTCTCTCTTTCACTCTCTCTCTCTCTGTCTCTCTCTGTCTCTCTCTCTGTCTCTCTCTCTGTCTCTCTATCTTCCGAATCAAGCTTAAAAAATTAAGGCGATCTTTAAAGTGGAAATTCAGAAAACAGTACAATAACCCCCGAGGAGCTTGATGAGGCGAAAGGAGCACTAAATTCAACAATTATCTCAATTTGCTATAATTACCTCGAGATTGCCGCCTATTGGACGAGTCTATGGTTTCTGAAGGTATAAAATCAACAAATCATGGTTGAAACATTATTTTAGTCCGCCTGTCTTGGGTATTCCTGCGAGAGGATATGTCAACGGATAAGGAAGAAATTCTTTGCTGTAAGTTTCAAAAAAACCGGTTTTGCGCTAGTTTTTAAATAGTTTTTATAATTCAGAGGTACGGATATACGTCAGGTAGTTGAAAATTTAGGCAATCCTCAGCCACGAGATCGAGTGGTTCGACAAAAATACCGCAGGGACGTTGTGTACAAAGATGTTTGAGTGAGTGTTTGTAATTTTCAACTTTCTTAAAAACATGAAATTTTCTTTTCTTAACCAATTAACTCTGCTAGCTTGCCTGCTTTGTCTTTCAAAGAAAATCATCTCCAGCTTTCTGAAAAATTCTGCTTTTTGAGATTTGCGAGCTTTTTCTGGCTTGAGTCATGAATGCCCTTATAACTTTGAGATCGTGATGACTGTGAAAGGAGCATGGGTTCCGTCAGGAACTCTGCTAGCTTGTCAGCCTTTAAAAAACATGGTTATTAATGCACCGACGTTTTTCAGCGCCCAGGAGCGCCTCAAAGAGGGCTTTGGCGAGAAGTTTGCGAACGTCTTCTACTATGGCACACAGTGCTTTGCGGCCTTTGGAATCGGTAGCTCATTTACCGTTAACATTTTAAAGGTATCTAGGGTTTTACTACGACTGGCGGTTGACCCTGGTGATGATGACGCTAACTCCAGTGGTTGCAACTGCTGGGTTCATGTTTAATAAGGTCAGCATGGTAGCTTTAAAGGGAATTTTCCAGATTAAACATTTCAACAGGCCTTGGAATATCCGAATACCAGTGGAAAAAGACCGCTTCGCGGCTCTTTTCCACTGGACCCCGTCCAGAAACCATGAATTTGAATACCTTCTTTTTTTGGGTCTGCGGTGCAGGTACCTGAGTCAAGGATCCATTCTTTGGACTGCGGCGTCAGAGACAGCGGTGCGCTAGGATAATTAGGTCTGAGGCGCTAGTTACTGGTTTTCCCCCCAGGCTTGGCCTGCGGCGCGAGAGCCTGGGCCAAGGACCCATCGTTGGCCTGCGGCGCAAGAGCCTGGTTCAAGCCCCTTTTCTTGGGCCTGCGGCGCTAGAGCGAAGGTCAGGCCTAAACCTCGCACATCGGGAGCCTAGAAATACGTTTTGTTGCTAAACTACCAAAAAGCAAAAGGTTGGATTCTCCCAGGACCCGAACTCCTGACCATACGTGTGGTAGACCGGGCGCCAACCCACTACACCACAGAGACGATGGGAAGGGGTGTCCTGAAAGGCCTCTTCTTTCTGGGGAAGGCTGCGGGGGAGGGGTGGCAAAGAAAAGGGCGCCCCAATGATCCCGGGCGGGTGGCCTCCTGGTCACTTTACACAACTCGATCTTTGAGTCTGAATCTGCTGAAAATTTCTAACGATAATAAGATGCGCGTGATCCCCACTATCGAATACATAATTTGTCCAAATTCCAGCCCGAAATTCCAAATGGGCATCGAGTTATGGACAGAACACCACGGCGCGCAGCCCACTTTGTTAAGGACTTTTTAGAAAAACGCACATAAAAATTTTATTTTACAAAGTCTGAAAAAAACGCAAAATTATATATCGGGAGAATTCTATTTTCAATCTGCCCTCCAACAATCAGCGCCTAATTCCTTTTGGTTCGCGAGATATCCTCTGAACAAACCTTTTTTTGGCCGAATGTTAAGGGTTTTCCACTATTTTGCTTGTAAAATCCTTAAATGAGGGAATTTCGAAAAACAAAAAAATGCCTATAAAGAGAATGTGTTTCTCCACCTCCATGCCAAAAATCAGCGCAAAATTCGGCCTGACGGCCGAGAAATCGGCTGCACAGAAAACAGACATACTTTTCTCGCTTATAGGATAGGATTAAAAATTAAGTTAAATTTTTAGCTAGCCACCGATGCCACCGCGCTATCAGTCAAATGGTATTCGAAAGCCGGAAAAGTGGCTGAAGAGGTAAAAATATTTTTGACTTTTTATACGTGAAAGTGTTGTATAATTACCAAATATACCAGATCAGTTTAGGCCCCTAAGCTCAATTCGTACCGTACTCTCCTTCAACGGCCAGGAGCACGAGTGCCAGAAATTCGAGAAAAATCTGGCAGACGGGTCTCGGGTTGAGATCAAGAGAGCTGGTAAGTGAGAGAGAGAGAGAGAGAGAGAGTGAGAGAGAGTGAGAGAGAGAAGGGAAGATGAAGAGCGAGAACGAGAGAGCATGAGCGAGAATATTAGAAACAGATGTTTCTACAGATGAGCTTAAATTTTTAGTAATGATCGGTGCCCTATCATCAATATCCTTCTCCTGTTTTGACATAATGTATTGCGTCGCGTTTTACGTCGGAACCGACTACGTCTATTGGGGATTTTTGAGCCCACAAACCATGGTTACGGTGTGTATTACTATAAAATCCGGTAATTTACTGAATTCAGGTCCTAATGACCGTCAAATTCGGGTCGTATTCACTTGGATATGTGATCCCTGAGATCGCGACTGTTATTAATGCGCTCGGGCAAGCAGGAGGAATTATGGAGATTATTGATTCGGTAGGTATTTCTGGTGTTTTTCGCTCTCTTTCTCTTTCTCTCTCTCTCTCTCTCTCTCTCTCTCTCTCTCTCTCTCTCTCCCTCTCTCTCTTTCTCTTTCTCTTGCACCAGCCTCGTTTTCCAGGTCAAAACCCTGAAGGCAACGAGAAGCCGTCCTTCATCTTGGGAAAGGTAGCAGTCAAAAATGTCCACTTCACCTACCCAAGCCGACCCGACGTACCAATTCTCAAGGTATCACTTTTTCATTAACGCTCTACACACGGATGCATTTGCTTGCTATTAAAGTCATGTCATGTAAGGTGTGATTTTAGGGCATTTCCTTCGATTGCGACCCAGGCCAGACCGTGGCATTGGTCGGATCTTCCGGATCCGGAAAATCGACAATTGTCCAGCTGCTACTACGGTATTACCAACTGGAATTGGGACAGGTGTGCCTGAATTTTACCTTAAATCGACTGGGAATCCAAAACCGACCTTTTTGTGGCTAGATCTAGACAGAACGAAAAGGGATCGATTTTGATAGTTTTCAGCTCCATTAAGATAATCATGTTATATATAGCAAATTACTTTCCAACCTGGTCGTAAAACGTATTGTATTTGCAGCTGACCATCGATGGTATCCCGGTAGAAGACTACGACATTGACTATTTACGCAAGATTGTGGGTGTCGTTAGTCAGGAACCGGTGCTGTTCAACAACACTATCCTGGAGGTATGGCTCTGCCAAAAAGTTGACGAACAAATTGGATTTAGAACCTCCTCTTCGGCAACCCCAACGCCACCGACAAGGACATCAACTCGGCACTCAAAAAGGCGAATGCACTCGGGTTCATTAACGAGTTTCCGGAGGTAGGTTACACTCATTAACTTTGGCGTTTTCGGTCTGACGTGTGAAGATCATTAGATATCGTTCAGTGTTCTGTAGCGTAGTAGCATCCAAAGGGGCCATAACGAAACGTAGCTTAGCGGACCGTAGCGTACTCTCGCGTAGCGCATAGCGCAATGAATAATATTAACTTGAGTGTAACGTCATTTAACAGAAACCTAGGGTCACTTTCCAAAATCGTAGCGAAGTCATAGCGTATCGTAGCGTAGCATCATTTGTCGTCCGTGAATCTGGAATCAAGCTGATTGCGTCGACGTGTGTTTTGGTAGAACTGTATTGAAGTAGAACACAGCTAGTGAAGCTACTGAAGTAAAACAGCGCAAAGCGTACTTTAGCAATTATGTATCTCTCGTGTAGCAGAGTTTCACACAGAGTTTCATCTGCCACAGCTTGGCGCGGCGTGGCGTAGCGTAGTGGAGTTCAAGACACATTACCTCGACCGACCATAATCTGATCAAAAATCCGGAGATTCATCGGCATCTTTAGGGCCTGAAGACGCTCGTTGGAGACCGTGGTACACAAATGTCTGGTGGCCAAAAGCAGAGGATCGCCATAGCCCGAGCCCTGCTGAGGGACCCGAAAATTTTGCTCCTCGATGAAGCCACCAGTGCTCTTGACGCGGAGAGCGAGACTGTCGTGCAGCAGGCCCTGGAAAATGTGAGTAAAAAGCGGAAATTCTATAGGCTAAAATCGATTTTTCTCGACCTCAAGCGAGGCAGGCTAGTAGAGGTTATTTGATCCACTTGCTTGAGAAACGTGAATTTGATTTTTAGGCGAGCCGCGGTCGCACCACAATTGTGATCGCACATCGGCTATCCACGATTCGAAATGCCGACAAAATTGTGGTGATTCGACATGGAGAGAGTACGAAAGCTCCTATGTACGGTAGTAAAAATCGTACTTTCAGTTGTTGAAACCGGGCGGCACAGTGAACTGATGGAAGCTAGAGGACATTACTTCGACCTGGTCAACGCGCAAGTTTTCGCTGATGTCGAAACCACGCGTAAGTGCAGCAGAGGGCCTGGGTATCACAGCCTAGGTATAACATGACGTTAAAAGGGATAGTGACAGCAAATCCACCTCTATTTTCAGCCACCAAGACCAACTATCTACGCCAGCGAAGCAGTCGATTTTCGACTGGAAGCGATTCTGTAGATGACAACGACCCGGCGCACAGGAATTTGGATACCATCGATGAGCACGAGTCGGAGATGGATCGGTTGAAAGAGGTAGAGACCGGAATTAAAGTTAATGACTATACACATTGCCTAAATCTAGTCATTAACACGGTTTTCATAAACGAAAAACCGCCATTTTCTTTAGAAATCGAGGAAGAAGGCGTCGAAACCGTCGGCTTATGGAAAATCATGAAATATATTGGGCCCGAGATGAAGTTTTCTTGATGGGGGTCATTTGTGCGAGCTTGGAGGTGTTTTTCTTCCGTACTTTCGCATTATTAATTTTAGGGAACCCTATATCCACTTTATGGGCTCTTCTACACCAAGGCTTTTGAGGTAAGAGAGAGAGAGAGAGAGAGAGAGACAGCGAGAGAGAGAGAGAGTGAAAGAGATAAAGAGAGAGAGAGCAGGAGAGAGAGAGAGAGAGAGAGAGAGAGAGAGACAGAGAGAGAGATAAAGGGATAGAGTTGATAAAATTATTTTTAGATCTTCTCCGAGCCCGACCAAGAACTTATGCGATATCGTGGTCATATGGCTGCCCTGGCATTTTGCTGATGATGGTGTTGGACCTAACGTTCCCGTCGTTAGGGGTACGGTAATTTAATTGTAGCCTCTTTTTCGATAGCTTTTAGCGTCGATTTTCATAGGGATGCTAGCCTTAAATTAGCTAGAACCTGCAATCTACTTTAGGCAATCGGCTTCGGCGTCGTGGCGAGTCGTGTGACGGAGCGGTTGAGAAGCTTGGTGGGTCAAAAAAAAATTATATTAATATTGTTTTTAGTATATGTTTAATTTTTTGATATAACGATTTTTTTAGACTTTTCGAAACGTGCTCAGCCAATCCGCCGCCTATTTCGATTCACCGAAACATTCGGCTGGGAAAATCTCAACCCGATTGGCGACTGATGCCCCGAATATCAAACAGGTAAATAGAGTTTTAAGATGTATAGATTTTGTATTTTCCTTTGTAATGCGTACGAAAGCACCAACCAGACTTGGGCTTAAAACTCCAAAAATTCTGAACTCCTTCAGGCCGTCGACCTGAAGCTCGGGCAACTTCTGCGAGGTATTGTCGCCCTGCTGGCCGGACTTGCCGGAGCTTTCTACTTCTCCTGGCACATGTCGTTGCTCAGTAAGTCGAGCACGAGCTGGCCTTGAAGAAATCGAAGTTGGCTGGATCCAACGATTTCGAGCAGTTCAGAGCTCAAAAACGCCGGAATAACTACAATAAATGACAGAGTCCGCTAATTTTTAGCAAGGGCGAGCTAGCAGAAATCCTTTGGGAGCGCTATTTCTCTAGCAAATACCTTGACGAAACGGACGTATTTCCAGTGCTTACCATCATCCCGATCATCACGATCGCCGAGTACTTCTGGGAGAAGAGCTTTGGCAAGGATACGGTAGAAGATATGAGGCTGATGGAGGCTAGCGGAAAGGTAAGTAGATTTTATATTTTAGATCAAAAAACAACTACAAAATTCAATAATGGTAATTTTAGGTAGCAATGGAGTCTATAGAATCGATTCGTACTGTCCATGCCCTTCTCTACAAGGCGTTATGCATTCGAAATATTGTGCTTTGATCGAGAGGCCATTTAAGGTATGTTGTCATGATCTGACTGGAAGAGAGAGAGAGAGAGAGAGAGAGAGAGAGAGAGGGAAGGAGAGAGAGAGAGAGGGAGAAGAGAGAGGAAAGAGAGGAGGAAGGGAATAATGTGAGAGAGAGAGAGAGAGAATGAGTCAGTTTCTTATTTCAGACCAACAAGCGGAAAGCCATCGTCCAAGGCCTAATGTCCGCAGTTTCCACCGGAATGCAACCCTCACCGACGCTATGCAATACCGATTTGGGGCGTGGCTTATCGCCAGGAATATGATAGTGAACCCATTTGATGCCTGGAGGTGAGGCTGCACAACGTAGTGGTGTGTTCTGTAGCATAGTCTAGCATGACGTAGAGTAGCCTTGTGGAGCGCCGCATGCGTGGTGGCGTCACGTAGTACCGCGTAGCGTAAATGTCACGAAGTAAGGCAAAGTAGCGGCAAAAACCTAACCTGTCCTACCACAGCGTACCGTTGGCTGAATAAGCGCGGCCTAACTTAAGTGGGGTACAAGTTGGGCGTATTATATTGCAGCGTACGCAGTGCGACGTGCAGCAACGTACCACATCGTAGTGCAATGCTTAAACGATTCCTTTTAGGGCCCAATTCTGCCTCAATACGCCTCATACGCCGTCGGCTAGGGCTTCATGTATTTCCCAGACTACAAGAAAGCCAAATATTCAGCTGGGCTGCTTTTCAAGATGCTGAAGCAGGAAACTGCGATAGACGGCATGAGGCGGATAGGGTTTAGGGTAAGTTGTAGCAAAATGTACTTTGATAATACAAAACCAAAGTATTCAAAGTCTTACTATACAGCCGCTTTAAAACCTTGTTTTCACGTCCACCAGTGGAAAAGTCGAGTTCGAAAACCTACGCTTTGCATATCCGGAAAGGAGCGATGTGGAGGTTTTGGAAGGTAGGTAATGTGAGCAAGGCTTTCGTGATAAAAATGAGTTTATCAAGCCTATCCATAGTCATCATACACGTCAAAAATCTAAAATTGTAGGCGTCAGCTTCACCATCGAACCCGGTCAGACCGTGGCCGTCGTCGGGCCCTCGGGATGCGGAAAATCGACGCTAGTTGGGTTATTGTAACGATTCTATGACGTTGCTGATGGGGCTGTGGTGAGCTTCAGATGAAATGATGAATGAAGGTTACATTTCTGCTTATGCAATGCCAATTTGCCCGTTTTTAATCTTTGGATTTAGACCCAAAATTGAAAATTTTTAGATTTTAGATAGGGTTAATTCCTGGCAATTCTCATTCCAGAAAATCGACGGTCAAGACATTCGAACCATGGGAGCGGCAGACGTTAGAGGTCAAATGGCCGTCGTCGCTTAAGAGCCGATACTGTTTGACGGTTCGGTGGAGGTAAGCTGTTAACTGGTCCTTTGTTGCTAATTCTTTCGCCTAAACCTATTTTTTTAACAGAACAATATTATCTACGAGCCTGGACGCGGCTACGGTAACTGAAAGCGATGCAGTGGAGGCTGCCAAGAAAGCCAATATTCACAGCTTCATCGACTGGGCTGCCGCTTGGATGTGATACTACCGTCGGAGATAAAGGGACGCAACTTTCAGGAGGTACTTGGGGGATGTCTCTCTCTCTTTCTCTCTCCTCCTCTTCTCTCTCTCTCTCTCTCTCTCTCTCTCTCTCTCTCTCTCTCTTCGCTCGCACTCGCTCCATTTAATCCCTCTCTTGGGACAAAAGCAACGCGTTGCCATTGCCAGAGCACTCGTCAGAGAGCCAAAAATTCTTATCCTCGATGAAGCGACCAGCGCATTGGATACGGAAGAGTGAAAAGGTATCTAAATCGTTAAACAATCTATATATTTTGCCTTTAATTGGTATATTCAATTGGTATATTCAAATTCAATCAAAATAACGCAACTTCTCTAGGTAGTACAAGAAGCGCTTGACCGCTGCCTCTGAGGAGCCGTACCTGTCTGGTAATAGCCCATCGGCTGAGCACGATCAGAAATGCCCACAAAATTGTGGTGATGAGGGCTGGGGAGGTTGTTGAACAAGGTTAGTCAGAACGATCAGATTTGGGTATAATCATTATGTTAAAGGTCTCGGAAGATAAACGACCATTTCTAGGCAATCACCAAGAGCTTATCGCGATGAAGGGCCTACTATCGGTTAGTATTGCAGCAAGAAAGGAGGGAGGCACTCCACGGAAGGCCCGATTGAGGAGGAGATTGTTTTGGAATAAATTGTTGATTTTAAAATCATCCATCCAGCATCTTCCATTCCATCGCCAACAGCCAGACGACAATCGTTTATGCATCACGCTCCGGCTAAAGCGCCTTTTCAATGCAAATTTCAGGCCGAAAGCGGTGCGTAGAACCAAGAGCTCAATGGTATTCATCATGCCTTTCCATATCAAGCAAATATTACTGGTGGCTTGACCTACAGTGCGTATCAAAAAGATTGTGATTGCCTGTGCTCATGCCTCCTCAAAAAATTTTGGGGAAATTTTCAGCAGGCTGGCAATCTGCTTATCAACACTTTATCGTATCCCAAGCTGCATGAAAATAATCAAAATTATTTTCTTTGAACTGATCCTACTATGGTTACCTTGCCAACTCTCAAAATTTCCAAAAATTTTTAGGAGTGAGATTTTTTGCTGCAAGCGCTTCCTGGTTCCTGGTGAATGCCTAAAAAGCCATTAAAGGTCTTTGGAATGCCAAGAGGAATCTTTGGACCAAAAAGCAAAAAATAAAAATCGTGAGCGGGTTCGAACCCTTGATAGATTCCCCAGACGCCGCGTACCACACCACTAGGCCACCAGGCCACGGTGATAGGGGAAGGGGGAGGGCTTATGAAGGTATGACGAAAAATCTGCAAAATGTATGCAAAAACTAAAAAGGCTTATAACTTTGTTAGTTCGGGGTATCTGCTGCTGAAAGTTACACCAATCGATTTGTCTCGTCGAGCTCTATAAGTGTGCAAATTTTCAAATCCGAATTAGATTCCGAGCTGAGACCATCATGAGCTGAGCAGAGAAGAGCTCAATGGTATTCATCATGCCTCCATATCCGGCAAATATTACTGGTGGCTTGACCTACATAATAAAAGGCAGATCCAGCCGTGAATGGCTCTGCTGTCAGAACAATGAAATCTCCAGGCTTCCCTTGAAAATTCAAAATTTTGTGGCTAGATTAAAAAATATTAGCTTTTATTTATCTACAAATACATGAAATACTATATACCTGCCGCTAGAAAGGGCAAAAAGCCTACGACACTCGGGATTCCCAAGCCGTCTCCGATCCAAGTACTAACCGAGCCCAACGTTGCTTAACTTGGCAGATCGGACGGGATGCCGTGCTTTCAACGTGGTATGGTCGTAGGCGAAAGAGGAGCCGGGAGGGAGGGTGAAGAGTTAGCGGTGCGTAAGAGACTGGGACAGAGCTAGAGGTCAGACGACAGAGGATCTAGGTCGTGGAGGTATCAGACGAGCAGATGCTCGCTCTTTAGAGGGTTGCCCTGTGGAAGACTGCTAGCTACTAACTGGATAGGACAGAAAAGCAGTCACCCCTGCGCAGCTTCGGTTTAATTACCCAAGTTTGAGGTTAGCATTAACCCCGAGACCTCCTCAAAAGAGTGTTTCGAACAAATTTTGGAACGCATTCCCCCAAGGGAGTGCACAACGGATGTGAAAGAGATAGAACGAGCTTCCGGTCACCTCGGTGTTAGCAGGGTCCCCGCTACCGCCCGGGACCCCTCACTCAAAAATTGGAAAGTACACGATCCCTTATTGGGGGATGGCGTTGTGGTTCAGCCTGACCGGGGAGTGCAATGGCCGGGCCTCATCACAGAATCTCCTCCTTCATGATCGAGGATCATCACTTCCAGGTAGGTTACCAAAACTGGGTACTGTAGGATGTCAATCACGATAGTGAGCCAGCCGGGGAAAGTTTGCGGGACCGGAAGTAGAATTTCTTACTTGCATGCAAAGCCTTGGAATCTACTCGGCTGCGGAAACGTCTTCCTTTTTCTGTCGGTTTCTACATCTTACAAAGCACGAGCATTTGAGGCAGATACCGGAGTTCAAGTGATCCAATTCAATATTAATGGTTGTGGTCGGCTCCCTCTACCTATACAGCGCCATTCTGCGAAAAGCACCTGTTCCAAGCCATGATTTACCGCTCCATAAATTGCGGTCTGCTACCATAACATGTTCAACCCCTCGTCCGACGAGATCAAGTATATCGTAATCGCGTGCGATTTGGCTTTTTGTTTTGCTACTGTCTGTTTCTTATTGGCGTTTTATCTCCTTTATGAGCACAGAGCTACCACGAAATTTTATAAGGCTTTGCAGATGAATTTGTTGGTAAGGCAGACTTTAATTAGAGCGAGAGGAGAGAGAGACAGGAGAGAGAACGAGTGAGCGAGGAAGAGAGCTAGACAGAGAGGGAGAGAGACTGAGAGAGCGAGAGCGAGAGAGTGGGAGAGTTAGAGTGCGAGAGAGCGAGAGAGACGGACATCGAGATACACATTTTTATTCAGATTTCATGTCAATTTCACGGAATATTGCTGGTCATATCCAAGCCCATAGCCATGCCGCCCCACCTGGTTTTCAAGCAGCTTGGTGCCAGTTTTAGCGTCGAATGGGAGATTATACTAACGGTAGGCTACAATTACCCCTTGAATTTTGGCGATTACGTAATGAGATTCGTGCGAAGCGCAACGGCAACAAGTGACGCAGCACGCAAAAGTGCGACCAGTTTCGGAGCAGCGGTGTGATCTGTAGTCGCGCGTACTCGAGCGTACCCAATTGGTAAGTTTTCTCGGGTTTTCTTCAAATTTCAGGTCCCTGATGTCTTACTTCCGTCAATTATATCGGCTCATCCGTTCTTTCCAACGGCGTATCAAAACGAGAAGCTGTGGAATGGGGAGCAGCGGTTGGCTCTACCGGCTCGCCAAGGCGATGATTATATTGTGCTTATTGTTATATTTTGGAATGGTGATCTACTATT